GATTTACGATTATATGTATTAATATGATAATAATGTAAAATGAAAAATATAAAACTAGAAGGTATAAAATAAATAATCATATAAGTATAAGGGTTTAAATTATAAATATATATATTTATATTAGTGTTTAGTAGGAGAGTCAAAAGGTAAACTAGGGGTCGGAAAAAAAAATGACCTATCTCAAATGATGTCAATGCTTTTTTTAACTATTTTAATTTATGTTTATTTTTTTTTCTTAGTTATAATTATTACTTAAAAGTTATGGATTTTAATTTTCTTTGATGAATTATTTTTTCAATAATTATGACATTAATCTTAGATTGGCAGGTGAAATTTCACATAATATAAGTTATACCGTGTTCTGATCAATTTGTAGGTACCTTATTAATCATATGAGATTCTAAAATTCACAGACACAGAAACTGTCAATAATCTTGACCAAATACAAAATGTTCACTACTGAGAAGTAAACCTAAGTATGAACATGTAAAGTATCCCTAAGGGTTCACATTCAGAGAGATGTGATCATGTAAAAGCAACTCATATTTGTAAAAATGTGAGAAAATTTATGGTCATTTTACTTATGATGACTGATACGGACCTTCATCTACCTTTACAAACTTTTACTTATCTTATTTCACATATAGGGGTAAATTATGAGTAGAGAAATAACATATTCAATGTTAGAAAAATATTTTAATGTATCAAACCCGACCAACCCGACTAACCCGACCAACCCGTACGGTTTGGGTTGGGTTGCACTTTCGTTTGAGTTGGGTTGGGTTAAGATTTTTCAAACCGCAAATATTGGGTTGAGTTATGATTTTTTAAACCTCAAACATTGGGTTGGGTTGATCAAATGTTTTCAACCCGATCAACCCAACCCATGAACACCCCTACTCACATACATGAATTTATTAAATTTTTTATTTGTGGTGATATAAATAGGTAAACAAAGATATATGGAAAGCAGATGAAAATTTGGGAATTTCAGGTTGATGATCGGTAGCTCGAGTTGATCAACCTTGGATAAAATGTTTTATTCTTGTAAAAACATTTTAAATATTTGATTAATAATTAAATATTATTATTAAATTATGTAATAATATTATCTTTTGTCTAATACATTCCTATTTTTTAGTATTAAGTTTGATGGTTAATAAATAGATGAATATGCTTTAATAATATACTAGAATAGTACTCGTGTAATGTAGCAAGACACATCTTAAGTTTAACGTTCTATTTTATTATTTGTCTCTGTTGATGTTATAATACGATTTTATGTGTTTTTAAGAAAACAATAATGATTTTATTTTTGAATAAAATATAAATTTAAAGATATCATAAAATTAAAAAAAAATATCAATGTTAATATCAAATCAACTATTTAAAAGTT